TCACAAAAAAGAGGGGGAAAAGAGGAAAAAAAATATTAGGTATAACCGATACACCACGTCTTATTTATTGGTTTGTTTTGTTTTTATTTCCTTACTCCTTTGCTTTCTTTTCATGCCTCCAGATTCAGATGTGACAGTGAAAAAAAAAATGCAGAAACACCATTGCCATTTTTAAGTTGCATGAAGCTCCAGAATTACAAACCATTAGGCTTATCTTCACAAAAAAAAAAGAAAAAAGAAAAAAGAAAGACAACTGGCTTCACCCTTCATATATTACGAACAAAAGAGAAACAGGATGGCTATGAAGCGAATTGAGCCAAGCGTTAAGCTCTTTGGGCTCGCTCATTTGTTCACAAAGAATGCTCGAGATCGTGATGAACATTAAGCATATAATTCGAGCTTGAAGCATCAATTATTTATTTGATTTTGGATACTGGTTCGACACATTTTATTAAACAATTTGAGCTCGAGTGTATAAAGTTCAATTATAAATGATATTTTTTATTTTAGCTGAGTAATTCAAGGTGATTGGGTTTTTTATATTCTCTCAGTAGAAAATATGACTAGAACTAATAATCGAACATGTTTGAATTGAGCTTGTTTAAAAAAATTTTAAGCTCAATTTGAATAATTTTTAAGCTCGTTTAAAAAAGAGTTTGACAAATTCGACTCGTTTATATGTAAATACTAAAGTTCAGTTGAGCTTATTCAATCCTAAATATGGCCACGAGGGAGTGCATTCTAATAAGGGTAGGATTTTGATATGAATGACGTACCACATTTATAAAAAGAAAAAAAGAAAAAAAAAAGAATTAAGACAATATAAACAATAATTTTTTAATATAATATAATTTGATTTAATTAATTTTAGGGAAAATTTCACCAACACACCTTCTAGTTAGGTCTAAATTCAATGACACCCCCTTCTGATTCTGAAACTTCATTGCATCTCCTTTTGGTTTATATTTTCAAATAAAAGACACACCCTTAACGGTAATTTTTAACTCTATCAGTACAAAAAGTAATAGTTTAACTATAAATTTTCTAAAAATATCAAAACTATCATTTCTTATGTAAATATACTAAAATGTTATGAACCATTTTCCCACTACATATACCATACCTTTCGTTGTTGCTTAAGGTCAAAAATGATCTGGTGTTGCTGGAAAACACTGGGGACTAAAGTCATTCATTCTTCTTCAATTCCTTCTCCATAGTGATCGATCACTATCTAAGTTGGTAAAAAAAAGTTTATTTTATTTTTTTTCTTGCAGATTTGCAAATGTTTTTCATGCATTTTTTTTTTATTTTTTCATGCTGACATTTTTTATTTTTTCATGCAAATTTTTTTTATTTTTTTCATGTAGTTTTTTTTAAAAAAAATTCATGCAAATAGTTTTAATTTTTTTCATCCAAACTTTTTAAATTTTTTTCATGTAGTTTTTTTTTATTTTTTCTCATACTGGAATTTTTAAACTTTTTCATGCAATTTTTTTTAAAATTTTGTTCATGCACATTTTTTTAATGTTTTTTCTTCCATTTTATTATCTTAATATGTTGTAATGTATTATTGTATGATTGATGTCTTCTTCAACTGTTGATAGAGACAAAGACATAAGGGATGAGAAGTTTGACATAAGCGTGATTTCTATAATTATATTATCCCAATGAATTTTTATCATTTTAAATCGTTGCATGATAACTTTGTTATAATATTAGAAATCATATTATCACTCATTTAGTTACATAATCGAGTTTTTATAATTTTTATGTTTAAAAATAATTTTTCTATAATAAAAATTAAAATCAATAAAGTCTATATCAAAATCTCATCAATTTCTAACTCATCAGCTATCATTTGTGCTCCACAACGTTACCTGACCACTCTTCACACATTACCCTTTATATATAAATTTTAAATATTAATATGGAGTTAATTTGATATTTATATGTAGCATTGATTTGATAAAATTTAATATTAATTGAATAAATTTAAATGATGCTTTAATGAAATTGAATGTTCATTTGGTGTTAAATTAAATAAATAATATTAATTTGATAAGGTTAAATGTTAAATTAGTGAAATTTAATATTCTATTTAATAAAATTAAATGTCAATTTGTTGTTAATTTTATGAAATTAAATAATAATTTAATTTTAAATTAAAGAAATAATATTAATTTGATGAAATAAAATATTAAATTAATATAACTAAATGCTAATTTGATAAAATTAAATATCAATTTGTGTTGATTTGATGAGATGAAATATTAATTTAGTTTAAATTGAATAAATAACATTAATTTCATAAAATTAAATATTAAATTGATGAACGTAAAAGGTTAATATAATCTATACTACTACTAAAAGTACATTAACATGAAAAAATTTTAATTTCCTATTTTACCCTCATAAAAAATTAAAAAGACCACTCTATCCTTCCACCCTTAATATCTAAATTGTCATCATATCCCTATGCATTTAATTTTGTAAATTATATCTAAGATCACTTTTAATTATATATTTCTTATGTATAAATGTCAATTTTATGAAACTTTTTGATTGATTATATTATTTTTAAAAAATATATGCATCATTATAAGTTTTATTAGTAATATAGATATTCCATATGTATAAATGTAAATTGAAGTACATTAACATGAAAATTTTTTGATTCTCTATTTTACCCTCATAAAAAATTAAAAAGACTACTCTATCCTTCCACCCTTAATATCTAAATTACCATTATATCCCTATGCATTTAAATTTGTAAATTACATCTAATATCACTTTTAATTATATATTTCTTAGGTATAAATGTCAATTTTATGAAATTTTTTGATTGATTGTATTATTCTTAAAAAAAATATATGCATCATTATAAGTTTTATTAGTAGTATAGATATTCCATATGTATAAATGTAAGTTTTATGAAATTTTTTGACTGATTATATTACTCTTAAAAAATATATGTATCATTATAACTTTTAACAAAAATATTCAAAAAAAATTCAAAAATTTCATCCATATAATATTACTCACTTCATTTATAAAGATAATATTATGACTACACATGCATATTTTATTTTTTATCAAAATGTTTAACCTTGCATGTATATTTTATTTTTTGATAAAAAATAATGTGTATATGGTTTTACATAATTTTTTAGTCATAATAAACTTTTCAGATTGTGTTAAAATTTTATGTGAAAACTTGATTTTTTTTTAATTTTAATATGTTCTATAATATATATTATAGGATTGTATATTAAATTTTATCTCAATTGACCTAGATAATTATAAATACAGTGAGGTTCCAATATAATTGGTATATTGATAATTATTTTTATTTTATTCAATGATTTATAAGTGAAATTTTAATCAAATTAATTTTTTAATTATCTATTCTCTATTTATAATTGTCAATTTTTATGAAACCTTTTGATTGATTATGTTCCTCTTAAAAAATATATGTATTATTATAAGTTTAACAAAATATTCAAAAAAAAAAAAATTTAAAAACTCCATCAATATAATATTATTCATCTAATTTATAAGGATAATATTATGATTATATATGTATATTTCATTTTTCATCAAAATGTTTAACTATTTTATTTTTAAGATAAAAAATAATGTATGTATAGTTCTACATGAATTTTTAATCACAGTAAACTTTTTAAACTATGTTAAGATTTTATGTGAAAAATTGATTTTTAAAAAAAAATTAATATACTTTATAATATATATTATAGCAATGTATATTAAATTTTATTTCAATTGACCTAACTAATTCTAAATACATTAAGGTTTCAATACAATTGGTATATTGATAATTATTTTTATTTTATTTAATGATTAATAAGCAGAATTTTAATCAAATTAATCTAACAAAATTTAATTTTCAAACATCACTAATCAATCACTTTCGATTACAAAATTATAGAACAAATAGTAGTTTAATTATTTATTTATTTTTATCATTTTTCTTAAAATTAAAATAACAAATCTTGAAAACATATAAGCTTTCAAATATTTTATAGTCGGACATGAGAGATGAAAAAAAAATGTTGATAAATTTTATATGATATTTAATTCAAGTACACATATACTAAATATTTATTTATTAATTTTTTAAAAAAAATTATTCACGTGTAACGCACGTGGTACATTACTAGTAAAACTAAAAGAGAGTGCATTGAAATTTCAGAATCAGAAGGAGATATTGTTAAAGATAAGTCTTTTTATAGGGGTGTTGATGAACCCAGATTTAGCTAGGTCCAAGCCCAATTAATGAGATAGACCCAAATTAGCTAAAAAGAAGGTCATGCCAAACTCATGAATGCGGTCCGATCCAAAGTTCAAGAGATCCAGGAAGGTTAGTGCATGTGAGGAGTAATTACCGGGATAGTTACTCTCTTAGATAAAGACTATCTTCAATTGTATCTATCCTAGTTGTAGCTATCTTCCTCAAAAACCTACTAATCTATCCCTCACGTCACCGCCTCAATTAAGGTTCTGTGCCTATAAATTGTAAGTTTTCAACACATGAGTGAGACATCTCTATATCCCACACATAACTATCTCTCTACACATCTTACAGAGTTATCTCTCTCATAACTACCAAGAGGATACTCATGCTCTATTTCTCTCTCACCTATGTGTTGCTTGTGTGAATCTTACCTCTATATTTATTGTATTTATTATCTACATTAATTGCTCGATAGGTGATACATAAGTCTATTTGGCGCATCATCAGATATCGTTGAAATTATGTCTATTTACAAAGAGTGTGGATAAAATTTACCCTATAAAATACTTAGAGATATTTCTATAATTTAATAATTATCGTTAACACCGTAATTTTATAAACACGGGGTGACAATAAAGATTCAAGATTAAGAATAATTGTCGTACAATTTAGACCTAATTGCGGTGCCTAAAATTTTCCCTTAATCTACTATTTTGGTTGGTCCGCATTGCTACTATGATTGTCCATATGCATCCTCACTTCATTGGCTAGTGTGGACGGACTCTCCGAGAAAACTAAACAACAATTCTGTTTTCTCTCTCGCTCATATAAGCAGAACCAGCTGCCCATTGCACTGACCAAAACGTCACTTTTTAGAGAGAAAGAGAGTGAGAGCTTTTGATCGATCTTTTTGTTGGTGAACGGAGCGATGGCGTGCGCGAGTTTTGTAAAGTTACAGGCGTTGTCTTCATCATGGATAGGTGAACAGTCCTTCAATCAACGGCCGGGATCGGCCTGTCATTCGCCGACTCGCCGTGTCTCTGTCCGAGCCGGATCTTACACTGATGAACTCGTCAAAACCGCCGTTAGTTCCCATTTCCTGTTGAATTTGAATCATTTGATATCTATATATGCATATTTGTATTTGCGTTTGTATATTTGATTTTGTACTCCTTAGTATTTATGTTTCTTGCTTTCTTTATCAGATACGTCAATGATTTGTCTTGTTTTTGGAGCCATCTTTTTTTTTTTGGTCGTATTAATATGTAGCCATGTAGGAATTGGTTTGTTGGATTTTGTCGGACTCGATCTGCCCATAAGCTTGGTAAGGTGCAACACTTAGATCGTTCAAAGCTTTAGAAGTTTAGATTGATCAGCTAGGAGTGTGAGCTTCATATTCATGACTTCCCTATTATGCGTACAATGTGCACTATAGTGAACGTGTGAAACAAACATGTTGTTTGGCATAGGGTTCCTTAATAACCGTAGCGTTCTCTTCTAAATTTATGGGTGCATTATTTTGATTTATACGGCATCAAAAATGAAGAGAAAACAAAAATTAAGTAGGATATCTGGGTTCAGGGAATTCATTTGGTATTTGTATATATTCACGGTTTTGTTTCAGTGCTGTATGATTGTGAAAGTATTGATTATTGGAATTGACCGTTTGTTTTTTAGTAATTTGTTAAGGTAATTAAACTCCTTTAGCATTGCTGTGGTTGGTGGGGTTCTTGTCTTCAAAGAGAAATACATATGTAAATCCGAGCTTGCACTCACGTGTATGTGTTTTTCACTTAGTTAATGGGCAGTGTCTGTATGTTTAGCATTCCAAAAAGCTTTAATTAATAGTTGGTATATTACTAGTTTTGTGCCTTTTTTATGTTTTTGTCCTCTCATGATCTCCCTCTTCTTTTCCTTCTTTCACTTCCTTTCTGTTTATTCCAATGGGAAGTCCTGTTTTGAATGAAATTCATGTTTTGAAATGAAATTGATGTTTTTGTCGTTTACATCTTTGAATTTTAAAGTATACATGATTACAGGGATTACTTATATATGGTAAATTTTTCCTAACAAATTTTCATGATTACTTTTGACCCATTGAGGATGTTTTCTCTTTAGAGTTTTATGAATATGCTGGACTTACATTTTCATGGAAGGGGGATGAGCTCTGTATCACTAAAAAGATTTCAGCCGCTGCTGTGATCTTTCTTGCATCAAATTGGGATTTGTTTGGATTCCTTGTTTAATGTTATTATCACATAAGAATTAGTCGTTGCATTGTTATAATTTTGTACTCATCATTCACTATTACTGTTTGTTTGAGAAAGAAGTTCCCGATTTTAGATGTTTGAGTTAAATTGCACAAATAATTTTCTTTTTTAAAGTGTTTTTCTTTTTTTGCTGTGTTGTTTTGATGGACATCCTTACAAGTCTTTGTACTGAATAAACTAACAAAAGATTGAGTAAATTGTGAAGTACCTAAGGCCATCTCCACTTCTAATCAAAAGCAAACTCAAGTTTAAATTTGAGTAAAAAAACTTTAAAAATTTTCTTCAATCTTTGACTCAAACCTATATCAAAACAAGGGAGACCCTTTTCTTGACCCATATTGAGGGAATACTAAACCTTTTACTCAAATTTTTTGAACCAATAACATAACTCTCCTTTTCTTCTATCGCCTGTGTCTGTTGGTCCCGCCAAAACCAAACCTCTTCTCTCTTCTTCTCTTTGTTGCCTTGCCAAAACCAAACCTGTTGAAAGATTTTGTTGATTTTAATTTTTGGACAGCATCAGATGATGAGTTTTTTTTACCATCAGCTTTAGAAGATACCATCCGTTTTTTTTGAAGGTTGGGTTTTTTTTTTTTTTGTTGAAAGGTTTTTGTGTTTGTTTTGATTCTATGGACTGATCTATGTGTTCATTCATGGAGTCATTTTCAGCGATGTTTGAGAAATTTTTTTTAAAGAAATTAGCTTTTGGGATAATATGTGAATTTTATAAAAAGATTTGAGTATAAATTTGATTTTATCCATTGGAGAGGTCCATATCAAATCAAGTTTGTTACTCATTTTTTTGTCAAATTTGAGTTCGAGTTTGAGTCAACATTGGAGATGCCCAAACATTTTATGATGACATCATTATTGCTCCTAATTTATGAGCTTGGAAGTTTAGGTTTAGCATTATCTCTTAACTTCGTGTGGTTGCCCCCNAACATTTTATGATGACATCATTATTGCTCCTAATTTATGAGCTTGGAAGTTTAGGTTTAGCATTATCTCTTAACTTCGTGTGGTTGCCCCCTTTTTTTGGATAGAAATCAATTGCATCTCCTGGTCGTGGTATCCTTGCCATTGATGAATCAAATGCAACCTGTGGGAAAAGGTTGGCTTCAATTGGATTGGACAATACAGAACTAAACAGACAGGCTTATAGACAACTCTTGCTGACCACTCCAGGTCTGGGTGAATACATTTCTGGCGCCATTCTTTTTGAAGAAACACTTTACCAGTCAACAACTGATGGGAAGAAGTTTGTGGACTGCTTGCGAGATGAGAACATTGTACCGGGCATCAAAGTTGATAAGGTGTGTCTTTTGTCATATTTTTTGTTATATCGAGAAAAACCTTTTATTTAACACTTACCATTATACTGTTGCCCTGTTGGATATGCACTCACCCATTTTTACATGTTCACAATTGTTTGCAGGGTTTAGTTCCATTACCAGGATCCAACAATGAATCTTGGTGCCAAGGATTAGATGGATTGGCTTCTAGATCCGCTGAATACTATAAACAAGGGGCTCGTTTTGCAAAGTGGTAAGCTATTTTTGGTCATTTGCGAATCTGTGCCTTATATGCCTTGTTTAAGGTAAATTCTCCAAATAACTTTGCAATGTTCAGTTGGCATGGGATAAAGGATAAATCATGGCACAAGTTTTATTTCTTTGCTTCTTGTTTGAAATTATAGGCGTACAGTTGTCAGCATCCCTTGTGGCCCTTCTGCTTTGGCTGTTAAAGAAGCTGCATGGGGTCTAGCGCGTTATGCTTCTATTTCTCAGGTATCCTTTCAATATATAGGACCCAAAAATTTTTGCTGAAATTAGCTAGAAATTTTCAAATGGAACAAAAAATGGAGGACAATTTGCGTAGAGGAGAGTATGTGATAGTTTGGATCTGAACTGCAGATACATATGATGAATAAGGATTTATTTCCTGTATGGTTCAACACTAGTCGCTCATATCCATGTACTATGCCAAGATTTTGCAGTAATCACAAAGAAACATCAACTATAGGCTTGAATTGAAAAAACAATTAGCATAAAGAGATGGCCAGCATAAATCACTTTCGTATATCATTACATATATTATGGTTCAGTTAGGGATTCGTTGCTGTTAGGGCCCATTGACACTTGCAAAATCTCATTATTGCTTCTATAATTTTGAATATAAATATATAATCTAGGCACCTCGAAATTTACTATTAAGGCATGGATTATGGTAGGCTCAAATGTCTGGATGCTGCCAAATATGGGCATTCATTTAATCTTTTTATATTCCCGTTGTGTGGAAGTTTATCTATGTGCCTGGGTGCGATGTCATGTGTGTGTTTTGTTGTCGTTACGCCTCATTCTCTGAGATAGATATTGATGTAGAATAAAGTGATATAGCGAGACAGAGTTATTTGTTTGTCAAATTTATTTTCGATTTTCATAAGTGAGAGTTTTTGTTTGTCAAATTTATTTTATATTGTCAGCACTTTGTTGTTATTTTTTTTTCTCATTGGTTTAGTAATCAGTAGTTTTACGGCATCTTCTCATATCACTATTGTTGTTTCTTGTGCAGGACAATGGCCTCGTGCCTATAGTGGAACCTGAGATTCTTCTTGATGGGGACCACCCAATTGAGAGGACACTTGAAGTGGCCGAGCGAGTATGGGCAGAGGTCTTCTACTACTTGGCAGAGAACAATGTTACGTTTGAAGGAATTCTCCTGAAGCCCAGCATGGTGACTCCTGGGGCTGAACACAAGGAGAAGGCTTCTCCGGATACCATTGCCAAATATACTCTCAGGATGCTCCAAAGGAGAGTACCTCCTGCTGTTCCTGGAATCATGGTACAATACCCTGAGCACATGTCTTACTGATCTACACACTTCATTGCTTTTTACTTTGTTTAAATATATCTTAACTTGTTCCGAGTTTTGTGGTTAAATATTTACCTCTATTATGAATGTCTGACTACTTTTCTGCTTTGTTTTGAGCTAACAATTATAAAAATAGATTATAAGCTTGCAAACGGGGGTGAGGAGAGCACATTTGGCAGGAAATTGCAGAGAAGAGCATCTGCATCTCTTAATTACCCTTCTCGAAACAATACAGCCAGGCTGATAAACATTCCACTAGTATACACAAATCCACCATGCATAGCTGCAATGCAAACAGAGCTGTTTGTCATATTCTAGCATGCACTGGCCACCAAGAGTCATGAAACATATCTACACCTCTCCTCTTCTCCATGCAAANTTGGCAGGAAATTGCAGAGAAGAGCATCTGCATCTCTTAATTACCCTTCTCGAAACAATACAGCCAGGCTGATAAACATTCCACTAGTATACACAAATCCACCATGCATAGCTGCAATGCAAACAGAGCTGTTTGTCATATTCTAGCATGCACTGGCCACCAAGAGTCATGAAACATATCTACACCTCTCCTCTTCTCCATGCAAACCATATTGGCGTAGAAATCCTACTCCTCATTATTTAGCCTAATTAATTGAATTTGCAACTCCAGCCCACCCAACAACCTTGGTTATGAGTAGCTAGGACGTTATTCTCTATGACACACACACACACATGATGGTGGCTCAATAATATTTGTTTATGTTGATGTGGTAAATGTCAGAGCATCCAACCCATGACCAAATGGTAAGGAGTGGAGTAGTCCCTCACACATAAAAACCAACCTTGGGTGATCCTAATCATTCGATGTGGGATGTAAACTCTCTTTACACACTCCCTGACGTAGGACCTGGCCTCGCATGTGGTGCTAACAAATAAACAAACAACGATGCATTCTGGAAAATTCAAAGGGGTAACAGCCTTGACTCACTAACCACCTAAGGTCCATCCCTGATACGATGTTAGAGCATCCAACCTAACACCAAGTGACAATGAGTAGAGTAGCCTCTCAATCATATAAACTAGCATTGGGTGAACCTAATCATTCGATGTGAGATACTAGCTTTCTTTACGGTATAAAATGTTAAATTTGGACCTTTGCATTCTTAATTTCTGTTGGAAGATTTTCCATTACTTCTCGAACGATTATAATATTACATAGTTCATCACTTTGATACTGAAATAATGACACCGCAACTTGCTGCTGTTCAAATGCTAATGAACTATTCACATGTATTTGCCCTTGATTTCTTTGATGGTTGCTAAAGAGGATATGTGCATTTGTTATGCAGTTCTTGTCAGGAGGACAATCTGAAGCGGAAGCAACACTAAACCTAAATGCTATGAATCAGAGCCCTAACCCATGGCATGTATCCTTCTCTTATGCACGTGCACTGCAGAACACCGTGCTCAAGACATGGCAAGGACTTCCGGAGAACATAGAAGCTGCACAAAAGGCACTTTTGGTGCGTGCCATGGCAAACTCCTTGGCCCAGCTTGGAAGGTACTCTGCTGATGGTGAGAGCGAGGAATCTAAGAAAGGAATGTTTGTTAAGGGCTATACTTATTGAGTCAATGGTTTTCTCCAGCTAGCTCCTCTTGGTCAGAGTAGTAGTGTACTTCCAGTTTTTGTCCCCCAGAGGTATAAAACTATAAATGCTGAGGAGACTTATTAGATATACTTATTACTCCCGTTGTCTTCTTTTGATCTTTATATTAGAGTGATCGAGTAATAATATGTGAGAAAAGGTCGGGTTTGTGACAGTCGAGGATACGGTGTACCNGCTAGCTCCTCTTGGTCAGAGTAGTAGTGTACTTCCAGTTTTTGTCCCCCAGAGGTATTAAACTATAAATGCTGAGGAGACTTATTAGATATACTTATTACTCCCGTTGTCTTCTTTTGATCTTTATATTAGAGTGACCGAGTAATAATATGTGAGAAAAGGTCGGGTTTGTGACAGTCGAGGATACGGTGTACCATCTGTATGTTGAAAATTTGGGTCCTTCAGATTGTTCCTGCAGCTGTTCAAATTGTGTTCTGTTATTGAACTCTTTGGATCTTGAGATTGTTCTTGAAGTAATCTGAATAGTCTAAACAAAGTAATGTTGGAACATATTGCAATGTTATTCTTTGTAGATTTATCCACATTTAGGCTTTGCAAGTTTCGAAAGTTAAAAGTAGGGTTGATAATCGAGCCGAGCCTNAAACATATTGCAATGTTATTCTTTGTAGATTTATGCAGATTTAGGCTTTGCAAGTTTCGAAAGTTAAAAGTAGGGTTGATAATCGAGCCGAGCCTCTTGAGTTTGTTTTTCTAAACGAGCTTAAAAAATTATTAAAGTTGAGCTCGTTTAGAAACTAAGTCGAATCTGCGTTGAACCGAACCGAACTCGAGTCGAGCTCAAAACAAGTCGAACCCGAGTAGTTCGCTTATTTTACATATAAACGATTTGAATTTTATGAATTCGAGCTGAGTTTTTAGGCTCGTTTTTTAAACGAACTTAAAAAATTGTTTAAATTCGATTGAATTAAACGCTATACAAGTCAAATTCGAATTGAGTTCAAGTAGCTTGACTTGATTATCAATCATAAATAAAAGTGGGTTACTAAGTTGCACGTGAGAAGTAAATTCAGATTTTTGAGCAGGTGAGGACTATGTCTTGTTTCCATCACAAAATTCTTGCATTCTGCATGTCTTTTAAATCTTGACATCTTAGTGAGATTTAGAGAGCTACTCACCTGAGCTAACTCGTGNAAATCTGCGTTGAACCGAACTCGAGTCGAGCTCAAAACAAGTCGAATCCGAGTAGTTCGCTTATTTTACATATAAACGATTTGAATTTTATGAATTCGAGTTGAGTTTTTAGGCTCGTTTTTTAAACGAACTTAAAAAATTGTTTAAATTCGATTGAATTAAGCGCTATACAAGTCAAATTCGAATTGAGTTCAAGTAGCTTGACTTGATTATCAACCATAAATAAAAGTGGGTTACTAAGTTGCATGTGAGAAGTAAATTCAGATTTTTGATCAGGTGAGGACTATGTCTTGTTTCCATCACAAAATTCTTGCATTCTGCATGTCATTTAAATCTTGACATCTTAGTGAGATTTAGAGAGCTACTCACCTGAGCTAACTCGTGGCAAGTCGCCTCTAATAACTGCCGCTACCTGTTGCTGCTTTTCATCAATTTTTTTTGGATGAATTATCTTTAATTCAANTGGCAAGTCGCCTCTAATAACTGCCGCTACCTGTTGCTGCTTTTCATCAATTTTTTTTGGATGAATTATCTTTAATTCAATCAAAAGATAAATTTAAGGGAAAATTTTAGTCATATCCCTTTTAGTTTATCATATATTTAAGGATACCCTCTCTATTTTATAAATTTTCACTTACAACCCCTGTCAGATTAAATGTGTTAATTAAAATATAATCTTACTAAATTACCCATGATATATTTGAGGAAAATTTTCATCTACACCCCTCTAGATAAGCATATCTTCAATGAGACCACCTTTGTTTTCGAAATCTTTTTATGTATTAAAATTCGATTTGAACTAATTAAAATTTATTTTTTACACATTAAAATTCGAATTGATTAAAAATTATATTTTTTAAGTATTAAAATTTGAGTTGATTAAAATTCTATTTGAGCCGAATAAAATCAAATTTTAATCAATTCGTATTGAATTTTAATTGGCCCGAATTTTGATACATAAAAAAAAAATTTTAATCGACTCAAATTTAATATGTAAAAAATAAATTTTAATCAACNTAATCAATTCGTATTGAATTTTAATTGGCCCGAATTTTGATACATAAAAAAAAAAATTTAATCGACTCAAATTTAATATGTGAAAAATAAATTTTAATCAACTTAAATCAAATTTTAATTGACATAAATTTTAATAAGTAAACAAATATAAATTTTAATCGATTCAAAGCGAATTTTTAATACATAAAAAAGAATTTTAATAGACTCAAATATTAATACGCAAAAAAAATTAATAGGCTAAGAAAAAGAATTTTAGTGCTCGAGAATAAAATTTAATCAGCTCAAATTTTAATATACAAAAAAATAAATTTTAATCGATTCAAATTTTAAAATGTAGAGAAATAAATTTTAATCGGCTTGAATTTTAATCGATTTTTATATAAAAAAAAATTGTTTGAGATTTATGTTGAGACATTTTTGGCATCTTAGATAAATTTTTTTTTATTATAAATGGTGGTTTATTATCGGGAGTTGTCAGTGATATTAAAATATAAACTAAAAACAATGTCAGTGATATTTTTGATAATAGAGGGGATGCCCTTTAAAATATAATAAATTAAAAAGAATGTGGTTGAAATTTTCCCTAAACCTTCAACCCTCTATGCCCGAGAAAACCCAAAATTGAAAGCTCATCCAAACAAGTAAATAGTGGATATAACCATTCAACAAAAAAATAAAATAAAATAAAATAGGACCTGCTTTCTATTATGAAGGTAATTATATATTATATGACAGGGTGATTATTAGTTTTAGTGTTATTTATTAGTGAACGGTTACGTCACACACCACTGTTGAAGTGGTGTAACTGTTACTTTTAATCAATATTTTAATAAAAAATTAGAAGAGAGTTTATTAAATAGGGTTTAATTGTACAAAAGTACACATAAAAAAAAATGTAAAACAAACAAGTTCTTAATTTTAGATCTTAATTATATACAAGTACATAATTTAAAATTTTTGGATTTTCCTTTGANCTCTCTCTCTCTCCCACACACATGCACACACGCACACGCAATGACATACACAGGAAATATTTATATAGTGTTGGATACTTTTGAGTAGTTTTGTTGGTGTTTCTGCAGAATATAAAATGGAGCAGAGATTGTCTAACACATGGCGGATGACAGTGAATGAGAAAAAGTTTATAGAGACTGCTTTACTTTCAGACCTAAGAGTTGATGGCCGTCGTCCTTTTGATTATAGACGGCTAAACATCATGTTTGGTAGGTAAGAATTGTTGATTCGGAGATTATTTGTTTTCGTTGCACATGTATTATAGGTAAGAATTGTAAATTGGATGGCCATATGTTTTTGATAAAAAGGAATTTGAACAAGGCTTTCTTCCTCAGTTGATGTACAATGTGCACAATTACCTATATATACATGCATATGGTCATTACCCAATTTGGTCCTGTTAAATGATGGTTTTAGGAGGATTGAATTGGGCATATACCTGAACTTTGGAATTATTTTCACAATTGGCCGCTTTCATCTTTGCTATTTTGTTTATTTTGTTTTTGCATAAAGGAATACTCTCAACTCGAACACATAAGCTCGAGGTTGTTTATATGTATGTGTGTGCCACTACAATTGGTTATGGAAGATGCTTCATCTTTTGTATATCAACCACTCGGTGAGTGTTGGGAGGGGTGGATGCGGTACATATCTAATAATGCATTATTTGCACAAAGTGGCTGCCATTTAATCTAAACCTCCAGTGCCAGGGTTGTCAGTCCTACTCTTTATTGCACTAGATTAAATCTATTGGTTCTCCTTTGTTTTTAATTGATCTGTTCTGTACAAAAATAACTCATGTCTGGTATTGGTATGCATAAAAAATAAATTGTTAGTGTAACAAACCAATCGCTGTTTCGTTCAATGATAAACATTGTGTGCATATTGGGATCTATAGATTTGTAATGAAGTTCCTGAATGCTTTTCTGGATATTGATCTGTTGGTGAATTTAAGCCCTAAAACTTCATGGGTGATTAAATAATACATCATAGTTACACTCGGATTTAGCAAATATGGCATTTAGCATATCTGAATGCTTTTATGGTGAATGCGCAGAGAAGATGGCTCATCAGAAGTGCAGCTCGGCCAGACTCATGTTATGGGTTTTGTCACTTCCCAACTAGTTCAACCTTATCGAGACAGGCCAAATGAAGGCACTCTATCAATTTATACTGAGTTTTCTCCAATGGCTGACCCTGCATTTGAGGCAGGTCGTCCTGGAGAATCTGCTGTGGAGTTGGGACGTATAGTAGACCGTGGGTTACGGTAGGATTTTTTGTCAGAAAGAAACACATTTTGCTCTGACTTAGAAATCNACAAGTAAATAGTGGATATAACCATTCAACAAAAAAATAAAATAAAATAAAATAGGACCTGCTTTCTATTATGAAGGTAATTATATATTATATGATAGGGTGATTATTAGTTTTAGTGTTATTTATTAGTGAACGGTTACGTCACACACCACTGTTGAAGTGGTGTAACTGTTACTTTTAATCAATATTTTAATAAAAAATTAGAAGAGAGTTTATTAAATAGGGTTTAATTGTACAAAAGTACACATAAAAAAAATGTAAAACGAACAAGTTCTTAATTTTAGATCTTAATTATATACAAGTACATAATTTAAAATTTTTGGATTTTCCTTTGATATTTGTGTGCTCCCTTAAATCATGCCATTATTTTTGGAAATTTCTTTTTTCAAATTATTTTTATGCATTAAAAATCTTATAATTTAATAAAAAATTTGATCCTTCCATTTATTTTGAGAATAAATTAGTTGAAACCTCCTGATCGTTAGGCTTTTTGTTTTTGTCTTCTGCTTTTCTCTTATGACCCATTTGTTTATTTACACATTCTTGCAGATGCTTCATCCTGAAATAGTGAATGAATTTTGCTTATATATAAAGTCCCTCTTCTTGTATAACAAATACGAACTTAAAAATGGAATTTTTAACCCATTTATTATTATTNAAGTCCCTCTTCTTGTATAACAAATACGAACTTAAAAATGGAATTTTTAACCCATTTATTATTATTTATTTTATTATATTATCAGTCCGACTAATAATCAACGGATGAATTGTTAACGTCTAAGTTTTTTGTTTTTTATTTTTATTTTCATATTTGGAGAAAATTAAAAAAAAATTTGTTTGATAACTGTTTTTGTNACCCATTTATTATTATTTATTTTATTATATTATCAGTCCGACTAATAATCAACGGATGAATTGTTAACGTCCCGTTTAGTAACGTCTAAGTTTTTTGTTTTTTATTTTTATTTTCATATTTGGAGAAAATTAAAAAAAAAATTTGTTTGATAACTGTTTTTGTTTTTTTTTTTATTGCATCGTTTTAAAAATGAGGAACGATTTTTCAAAAAAGGGCAAAAAATCGTTTTTGAAAAAATCACAAACGTTTATGGCGCGTTGAGTATTAATGTGGTCAAGAGATCAAACTTTGTTAGAACGCTTATTAGCCACCCATATAAATAGCGTTGATCTCCCAAACCTAACCCCTCTAACCTCCCCAAGNAACGTTTATGGCGCGTTGAGTATTAATGTGGTCAAGAGATCAAACTTTGTTAGAACACTTATTAGCCACCCATATAAATAGCGTTGATCTCCCAAACCTAACCCCTCTAAACCTCCCCAAGCCCAAGAGTGTGTTCGCCGCCAGACCCCCCTTCCTCTCCCTCTCTCTCTCTCTCTCTCTCTCTCTCAGCCCAGACGGTGAAGCTGAACGGTGAAGCTGTTCTAATCTTTGTCTTCGACGGTGAAGGGCTCTCCATCAAGGTAAATAATCTACTCTCTGAATTTTTTTTGNTCTCTCTCTCTCTCTCTCTCTCAGCCCAGACGGTGAAGCTGAACGGTGAAGGTGTTCTAATCTTTGTCTTCGACGGTGAAGGGCTCTCCATCAAGGTAAATAATCTACTCTCTGAATTTTTTTAGCACAGTCCATAGCTCGCTCTCTCAAGTAGAACACCATGTTGGGCATGAGTCCATAGCTTGCCTTCTCAAATGACTCGTTCACTGTACAAAACCCAGATCTTCTTCCCCTTCTTCCATTTGTGTGTGTGCGTTCGTGTGTGTGTGTGTGCCTTTAATATTATAGAAGGAGCAAAAATGAGAATGAATGAAATGAGTTGTTGCTGATTTTTTTGTTGCTGATTATAGTTGATGATTTTTTTTGTTGCTGATTATAGTTGCTGATTTTTTTTTCGGGTCGATGTCCAGGTCAAATTTTAAATCTACGCATCTAATATTTTTTCCATACATACACACACCTCCAATTCCAACTTCTGCAATACCAACCCAAGCAACGGTAACCTGACCATCCCCAATCCCCCCTTCAGCCGGGAGATCTAACCAAACAGCTTTGGTGAAGGGCATACCCCAACAACAGCCCTAACAAGCAAAACACTCTCTCTTAATTTAAAACCCAATTTGGTCCATTTGGGTTCTAACCCAATTTAAAACTCTAAAATACTCTTCTTGGGTTTTGCTCCTTGGNGGGTTACGGTAGGATTTTTTGTCAGAAAGAAACACATTTTGCTCTGACTTAGAAATCTTTTTCTGCAGAAAGTATTGTCACAAAAGCTTCTTACACAATTTTGGGATTCTGTCATTTCTATTTTATTGTGGAATAGGTTCTAATACAAATGGTAAAATTCCAAAGTAGTATTTTTTCCAATATTACGTACTTTTTCCCTTTTATCACAATATTNCAATTTATACTGAGTTTTCTCCAATGGCTGACCCTGCATTTGAGGCAGGTCGTCCTGGAGAATCTGCTGTGGAGTTGGGACGTATAGTAGACCGTGGGTTACGGTAGGATTTTTTGTCAGAAAGAAACACATTTTGCTCTGACTTAGAAATATTTTTCTGCAGAAAGTATTGTCACAAAAGCTTCTTACACAATTTTGGGATTCTGTCATTTCTATTTTATTGTGAAATAGGTTCTAATACAAATGGTAAAATTCCAAAGTAGTATTTTTTCCAATATTACGTACTTTTTCCCTTTTATCACAATAATTGGGTATCTGGCCCATTGGAGGAGAACATCTTCTCAAAACTTGCTTACATAATGGAAAGTTTGGAAATGATCTTGTAGTGAAAGCCGGGCGGTCGATACAGAATCACTTTGTGTTGTTGCTGGAAAGTGGGTATGGTCCATTCGCATTGATCTTCACATTCTAGACAATGGGGGGTAGGTTTTTGACGTATCCTCGTAAGTCCAAGTAAAGTACTGATTTGTTTCTTCATCTTGTGTTTCTAAAATAAACTGTCCTTTTTTGTTTTTCCAAACAGCAATCTTGTTGATGCTGCGAATGTTGCTACTTTGGCTGCTCTATTGACATTCCGGAGGCCTGAATGTACTCTGGGAGGAGAAGATGGTCAGGAAGTGATTATACATCCTTCTGAGGTCTGTTCTTCTTTCTTAATTATTTTGTTTTGGAGATGAAATGTAACTTGTCCTTAAGGGTGTGGTAGCTGACCTATCAAATTCATGGTGATAGGTCTGTTCTTCTTTCTTAATTATTTTGTTTTGGACATGAAATGTAACTTGTCCTTAAGACTTGGCAAAAGAACCTTTTTATGTCCATAAAATTATTGAAGCATGTTGCAGCCTTGCAGGGGCAAGATAGACATCTCAAATGCTCTACATTTATCCTGAGTTGTATTTCCTTTATTTCTTTTCTTATGGATTTCAGTTTTTGTAGGTAAAAGATTCCCTAGAAAGGGAAAACTTGACTTTTTTTCTTTTCTGAGCTCTTCAGAAACTTACCATACACCTTTTAAGTATTCATACAACATCACAAACTCCTGCGTAAATACTCTGTGCTGTTGAATGAGAGTTGTATTTTCAAGCATCATATTTCCTATTTCAATGTTTACCCTGATAGAAGTTAGAAAAAGGGCCATTTCCACCTTGCTATTTATTTTATTCTCTGTGTGAACGAACGCTATGCTTTGATTGGAGTAACAAGTTTTCCAAATCAAGTAGTTTCAGAGGATATGTTTTCCAGTGGGACATTATATTATTCTGGTTATGTATAAGCTTAAGCCATCAGAATTTAACCCTAATTTTGATCAAGTGCTCGTTATGTATAAGCTTGAAGTATTGCATTTTGACAGGTGAGGGAGCCACTTCCATTGATAATACATCATCTCCCTATAGCAGTGACTTTTGCGTTTATTGGTGACGAGAACATTGTGGTGGGCAAACCAAATTCTAAAAGCTTTTGTGGTCATTTCACTCAATAGAGTGCATCTATCCAGATCTTTGTTTTGATTGTCAAGTTCTCTTTAAACTGTAATTGGTGCTGCTAGGTGATAGATCCGACTCACTTTGAAGAAGCTGTTATGGGAGGAAGAATGACTGCTACACTTAATACAAATGGTGATGTTTGTGCTATTCAAAAAGCTGGAGGACAAGGTGTCATGCAGAGTGTTATAATGCAATGTTTACGGATTGCTTCTGTGAAGGCTGCTGATATAACAAGCAAAATAAAGAATGCTGTGAGTTCCTATATTATGAAATTATTTCGTAGATCTTGAGGTGCCTTTTATACCTGTTATACTGCTATCCATCAAAGAAGTTTTCTTACCAAATGATGGTTCTTGAGTTCTTGTACTTGATGTTAGTGATTTGAACGCTGCAGCAATGGGGCTGGGAATGGTAAGACACTAACCAACCTAACAACTAGGAGAATGTTTCTAAAATATTGTATTTTCCTGTTTTGTTTGGTATGGTTTATTTTGTCTGTGAAATCACATGCATCTTCGAATACTAATGCTGTTCAAATCTGATGGGGAGGTGAGATAATTAAATTTGCGACTAATGTGAGTGAATTTGACTGTTGCATTTTGGGTTATATGTCGGGAGGTTTTGGGTGCAAGTTTACAATGAACTGTGGTACAATTAGATGTAATCTTGATTGCATGGTCTGAAACATGAATGCATCAATGCAATCTTTGGGAAATAAAAATTTAAAAGAATAGGGAATTTTCTGACAAATTTGAGGTAGGGCCTGTTGGTAGNCATCAATGCAATCTTTGGGAAATAAAAATTTAAAAGAATAGGGAATTTTCTGACAATTTTGAGGTAGGGCCTGTCAATGGAGCACACATTTATGCATGGTTCTGCTTCTGTTAAGAATCATTTTAAGGGTTGGCAATATGTAACAAAATGGGAAAAGATGATGTTTTTCTCATGGCATAACTTCTCCATCTGTCAAGTGATTACATGGTGGTATCTGATCAGTATGATTAATAGATCCAATTCAACGCCTTAAATTGTTTAAATTTCTGCAGGTTGAATCATACAATACTGAAAGAGCACTACGGAAGATTAAACGTCACTCTTCTGCTGCTGCTCTGGATGTTAGCGAACCTGGTCAGAAGGGAGTCAGTGATGTGTCAAGGCATCATATGGAAAGATCGCAGTTAAAATCAGAGGAATGCAGTGTCAGTCAGAGCAATGACATGGAGTTTGAAACCCAATCATCTGGACAAGATAAGACTAATAGGACAGAAGGCAATTCTAAGAGTTTTATAGGCGGGCCTTCAAGCTGGTATGGTTTCATTTTGTCCGGATCTTTTAGGGACTTTGCCCTGATACATCTAACCTCCATTTTTTGATGTTATTTATGGGATTACTAATTGTAAGTTGTTAGTCAATGAATAATTTAGGATGAGGTTGGATTTTTGCTTATGCAAGGATTTAGGTTTGGCTTCAATACAAGGGCCGGGCATATTCAGTATTGAGCCTACATAGAAAATGGATTCCATTGACAAGGAAATTTTAAATGTAGTGTAATATGCACTTGATTACTTTCCTGCCATTTCCTCGCCAAGTCTTAAAGGTCAAGGGAAGCAAACAATGTGAAATATCATAGCCAGGATAATGCAATATTTCCTATTGGATGTTGAACATACAATACTTAAGTGGCAGGATGAATTTGGGACTTGTGGTCCTACAAGTTGAAAGAGTCATGGCTCTCGGTCTATTCAATCGTCTTTCTTGATGTCTCATGCACTTCTTGACATTTCAACACGCAGACACGCATATTTCGTTCCAAGAAAAAAGCTAAATTGGACAAAAGAAACATATTACATTTTACTTTTTCTCATTCGAGCACTTCATTTTTTTCAGTTTTGACATCCTATTTCTTTTTCTTTTTCCTTTCAGGAGCCCTTATTCGAAGGGTGTTGATTTTGATGCATTGAGAGCTTCTCTTGCTTCATGTGGTATTCACCATTGCTCTCTTATCACTTGTCCTGAGATATTGTGCTGCTTGATGAACTTAAACTAAGTTCCCAGTCTCTCATGAGAGTTCTGAATTATGGGGTCTGTTATTCTGGGTGTGGTTTTGTAGGCAGATATGAGTGTGCTTTTATGTGTCTTCATAGTATTCCTAGTGAGATCATGAATTACAAATCTCTGGATTGTTGTATTACAAAGCAAAGAGGGATGGGAAGAGAATTTGAGAGATGAGATGTTATTAATATTATTACTAAAGTACGTGAAATTCACAAGTTTAATCCTATGACATCAGTGTTTAACATGCCCCCTCAAATTGGAAAATGGATCTCTACCTAAATTTTCTCATTCCATAATGACCCCATCTGTCAAAAAAGACTCATGGGCAAGCCGATCAAAGTAAGAAATGGGAGGAATGCATTTTTCTTTTCCTAAAGTCTTTGGTATAGCCATAACCTGACTGATATTTTCATGCTCGACATTCACTTCTGTGTTGTTGGCTTTTTTGGTGATTGCACGTAACACACCCCTCTATATTCTTTTTTTGAGTTGTCATATTTGAGAAATGGAGAACCTGATCAAAGGCTATTTCTTGAGTTTGGCTCATGGAACTGTTGGAACTCCAATTATGTGGTCTTTCTATTCAAGATGCATGTAGTATTCATCCACCAATAAAGCTAGGCAAGGTAATAAATCACTGATCACTGTTTTCAGAGGCAGCTATCATCCCAACTGAGAGATATGTTACATTAAAAAATGATTAATGTATGGCTTATATGCTATCAGACTAAGCTATCATTTCGATTTTTTTAGATCTGCACACTGCTTTGTAAATTTGAATTGTATTGCATCTAAAGATACTCTACATTTGGCAGAAATATGGTTTATAGGGTAATAGAAATTTACACACTGTATAATATTACATGCAGGAGCAGTAACACCAACTGAAAATCAAGAAGAATTAAGACATGAGAAGCAGAATAAAACTCAGACAGGCCAACCACTGGCAGGTATTAATCCAGTTCCTTCATCTAATGAGGCAGCTGAAAGTCAGCTACAAACAAATGGAGAGAAGACTTTGAAGGATGCTGTGAAACCTAAGCACAAGAGAAAGCAGAAGGCATCCTCTAATGTTGATACAAGTTAAATGATTCTGCAGACAAAATCTTTCTAGGCATGTAGACTGTTGACCTTATTTCTCAGTGCAATTTATTTTTTTGACCCGAGTATGCACGCAAGGAATTGGACATCTCAAGACACATCAAACTCTCGTANTTTCTAGGCATGTAGACTGTTGACCTTATTTCTCAGTGCAATTTATTTTTTTGACCGAGTATGCACGCAAGGAATTGGACATCTCAAGACACATCAAACTCTCGCAGTTGATGCATCCAATAGATTTTTAATGTATGTTTTTAGGTAACTATTTCATTTTATTGGACAACATATGAAATGTACAATCTTGTGGATATAGATCTGTTTCAGAAATAAATTAAAATTCTGGTGAAAAGAATTTTGTAGGGTTCCTTTTTAGTTTTAAGTGATTAGGCATGTACAAATTTTTTAGATGGCATTGCTTGTCGTCCTTTTTTCCTGCCTGTAGTTTTATCGCTCCACAGCACCAAATGATAGAATCAATAGGTATGTAATTTAGTCCATAAGACGCACAATTACAAAAATCAAATTTAAGGAGAGAACCTTCACTTCAGTCTGATTTTGAGTAGGACCTTGTAGACTTTCTGGACATGGCTTCGATTACTATTCATGTGTTAATTTCAGGTGTAGTTATGTTTTATATTCTTTTGGGTATTCCCTTGATTGGATTTTCATTCATTTACTTGGATCCTTGTTAGTAGATGATCTTTAGCGTCCTGTATAAATGTATGCACACTAAGTTTGAGGGAGACCAATACTAAAATATTCAGAGCTTTCTTGTGGTTGTATGTTGCAGTGTTCTGTATGATGGTTTGAAAAGGATTGTACGTCAATTGTAGAATACTCATCATTCTCCTAATCTAGCTCGCTCCAGATAGACTTCTTTTGAGCTACACACAAGCAGTCATTCTATCCTTCAAATTTTCTCTGCCTAATAGCTCACTCGATAATCCTCATCTTTCCTTTTCTGTAACCCCTTTCCCCAACACCCTATACCTCAAGGCTTCGACAAGAAATCCCCATGTTTTTTGTTCCCTAGAATTTAAACAGCCTGTCATCTTTAGGAATAAGAGTTAACATTCATCTTTTTGTTGTAGAAACATTGTACTGCATGCTTTTCACAACCTAAGCCCACCAATTAGTCACATGTTGCACTATTATTTCTTTCGTTAGTTGTCAGATCAAGCAGGTAGAGGATCTGACACATGGTGGAAAAACTTGGCCTTATTTGATGCCTGTGGGACTAGGGAAGAGTTTTTTGATGCAAAGATCATTAACCCTCAGTGGAATGATATGTTTAGCTTTCGTTGTGGTTTTTGTGTTATGATGTGTAGGATTCATTCAGCTTGTAGAAATTGCAATTGTTTTCAAATTTATTGATGATTACTCCATCATGTTTTCCAAAAATCCATATTATAAGAATGAATCCTCACCTGATAAAAACTAGAATTATAATTTTTGTCATGTCTGATTGCCCCATTCAAAATAAATATTTTATTGGACAATCTTAGGGTAGAGGATTTGTAACTTGTAATGATGTTAGGGATCAGGAATGTTCTTGTATTCCAATAGAGTTGCGCTTTGTTCCCTTGAGTTTGTTCCTTTGCAGGTTATGCACATGCTGCCATGCACTTTGATTTGATTNCATGTCTGATTGCCCCATTCAAAATAAATATTTTATTGGACAATCTTAGGGTAGAGGATTTGTAACTTGTAATGATGTTAGGGATCAGGAAGGTTCTTGTATTCCAATAGAGTTGCGCTTTGTTCCCTTGAGTTTGTTCCTTTGCAGGTTTTGCACATGCTGCCATGCACTTTGATTTGAATGCTGCAGCCTGAAATGAGGTCGAAAGTGTTTCTTTCTGTGTCAACCTGAAGTTATATGAAGAGATCAAAGGTAAAGGTATCTTGAAAATCCAATCGCAAAGANTGCTGCAGCCTGAAATGAGGTCGAAAGTGTTTCTTTCTGTGTCAACCTGAAGTTATATGAAGAGATCAAAGGTAAAGGTATCTTGAAAATCCAATCGCAAAGAGGAAATAATGGAATTTGCTATAATGACCTTTTGTATCAGATGTTTGGTTTGACTACGCTGCTCTGGGAGAAATAGTTAGAACTCGAATGCCAGGGTGCCAGCATGCAGTGGCCTATCGTTCTACAACCTTAGCAATGTCACTAATAGTTAATTGTAGCAGTGAGAAGTGAATGCACCCTCAGAACAATTGGTTTGTCCTTTGAATATTTCCTATTTAATATTATTGTAAGTGTTTATTATTCTACTGGAAAGATGATTGAAGTTGTTCTTAATGTGGTAACCAAAATATACTCTTGTTCTTCTTGATAGCAATCCCTCTTTCCCTAGAAGTGTAGTGGCACTTGTTGGCCATGACCTATCTCTCATGCCCAAGTACTGTGATTTGTAGGATCGAGCAATATGTACCCTACTCTTTAGGGGGTGAGGATCAAAGTTGGGTCTCCGACATAGTTATGACTACAGTATGCTTCCAAAGCAGAAATCGTCTCGCAGCAATCGATGGCTTCGAATTTTTAGTACGGTTTAAGAATCCTGGTCAACTGAATTAATTTTCGCTGGTTTTTTTTATTTCATTGTTTAGCAAAGTATGCTAAAAGTTGTAAACGACAGCCAAACATGAACAGAATGCTAAATGTATGAGCATGTCGAGTGATATAAATAAGAATCAATTTAATCTGAGCCAAGCCATACGTTGCTTGTGCAGTTCAGTGCTTGTGCAGTTTAGTGCGATTATAAAATGAACTTAAAATTTTGATGAAATTCAGGTCAATATGAAAAGAAAAGGCATCGGAGAGCACTGATATGCAAAGCGTTACCCTTTGATCAATTAAATTCAATACTATATCGAAATTTATCTGTAATTGTTGAATTTGATTAGAATATAAATTATTATCATTAATTGAAAAAATTTAGAATAATAATTAAAAAAAAACTTTATAAGTACTGTGTTTCTTGGATGAAAGGTGAAGGCATGAGTTTGGTAGCATGTTGGACAGTGTCCTCGAAATGCGACATTGATCTGGCTGTTAGAATCCTCAAATTGATTAGCTGAATCTTGACCCTATGGATTTGAGACAGGTAGGGAAGAAGCAGACCTCCCCTGTCCTGAATCCTTATAAAAGAGGACTTCACTTTCGGTACGGAATAAAAAAATTTAATATTGTACCTCAAAATTTATTATTTCAATGAGTACTTTTATATTTTTTTGTGAGTTATTTTATAATTAAAAAATTTATTATTTTTGTAGATGATTTATCACTTCTGTGGATTTTTTGTCATTGTTGTGGTAACTATTTTTACTATTTTTCTTAATTACAAAAAAAAAATTACTATTTTTGTGGATAATTTATTATATTTATGAGTATTTTTATCACTGTTGTGGTAATTATTTTTATTATTTTTTTAGGTATCATAATAGTGATAAAACACACCCATAGCAACAATAAAAATATTCATAAATATGATAAATAAATGTATAATAAGGAATTTTTTTTTTCCCGGTACCATTGACAACTCCTATAAAAGAAATCCCTATAATTTCGGTGGGTATTACATGGGAAAGGTCAGTCAGTGGTGACTGCAAATGTGGGCTTGTCTATAATGTTTGGATAAAGGTAGGAAATGCTATTTAGGGTTAATCCCAATCATCCCATTTCGGTGTTTGGATATGTTATTTTGGGTAAGTACAGTACCAAATGCTGCATTCTGGTAAAAGGGTACTATTCAAAAGGGTCATATTATTCATTCCAACATTTTTGGAGTGCTCTTGCTTTTTTAAATCTTATTGTATATTGATTTTTACATGTTTGAATCGGAACTTAGTCTCATTTAATTTTGGAGTTGTCTGCAGTACCCAAAAAAAAATAAATTGGTACTGTGCCGATATTTATCATTTTTATAAGAGTAATGTTATTGAGACCTAATTTATTGATCAAATTTGTTGCCTTAATTCACTATAACTTTTGGATTGACTGTGAGCTCCATTAAACATTAGAACTTGATATTAATCCAATGGTTCCAATGAAGCCACGTCAGTAGGTCAACAAATTATATCAGATTTTTAGGTCTAAATAATATTTTCCTTTTTATAAGTAGTGGGTATTTTTACAACTATTATGGTAAGAAAAGTGGTAAAAATAATTACCACAGCAGTGGTAAAAACATGTGGACGATAATTTTTTTTTTTTTTTTGTATAGAAGAAAAGTAATAAATCGTCCACAAAAATGATAAACTTTTTTATTGTAAAAATACCCACAAAAAAGTTATAAAAATACACAGAAAAATAGTAAATTTTGGAGATCATGTCCTTTTTCGAGTTTACGTGCATAGTTTCGCATTAGTCTAATTATTAACGTCCATTATAAACTTGATAGAAGATTATTATTTTTTGCTCTCGAACTNGCTTGTCTATAATGTTTGGATAAAGGTAGGAAATGCTATTTAGGGTTAATCCCAATCATCCCATTTCGGTGTTTGGATATGTTATTTTGGGTAAGTACAGTACCAAATGCTGCATTCTGGTAAAAGGGTACTATTCAAAAGGGTCATATTATTCATTCCAACATTTTTGGAGTGCTCTTGCTTTTTTAAATCTTATTGTATATTGATTTTTACATGTTTGAATCGGAACTTAGTCTCATTTAATTTTGGAGTTGTCTGCAGTACCCAAAAAAAATAAATTGGTACTGTGCCGATATTTATCATTTTTATAAGAGCAATGTTATTGAGACCTAATTTATTGATCAAATTTGTTGCCTTAATTCACTATAACTTTTGGATTGATTGTGGGCTCTATCAAACATTAGAACTTGATGTTAATCCAATGGTTCCAATGAAGCCACGTCAGTAGGTCAACAAATTATATCAGATTTTTAGGTCTAAATAATATTTTCCTTTTTATAAGTAGTGGGTATTTTTACAACTATTATGGTAAGAAAAGTGGTAAAAATAATTACCACA